GATCATTGTTTGTATGTCGATGACGTGATCCACAAATATTGGTGGGGGAGGGCCAATTCTCTGTGATTATTGGTTTGGCGGCGAGTCTGCTATTTCCATGGCGTCGTTAGTGGATTGCAGTACGGCGAACCTGTTGTGGGTGTTTATTTGTATCGTTGATTGTTCGTTCCGGGTGTCGATCGTGTATGGTTTTGCTGTTTCTATTTTCCGTTTCTTTGTATTATTAGCGTCGGCTGTTTCTATTTTCCGTTTCTTTGTAATATTAGCGTCGTTGGTGCGGAGAGTTCTGCTACACTTCTGCCACGGGGAGGTAGCGCGGGATGGTTGCGAGTCTGCTCCGGAGAGCCTGGTCGCGATTGCTGGGCCATCATCGAGCTAGTTAATTCGGAATGAATAACTAGTCGTGAGGCTATGAGGCTAGTATTCGGGTTGGGGTTAGGTGCGTGGGATTTTCTTCTCCCTAAAGGGTAGGGGACACTTGGCTGTGTTCTCTTTCGACGGTTGGGCGACACGTGTTGTTTTCGGACTACGCTGGGCACTAGAGACACGTCTGCACGCTTTGGCACTCCACAGCGAACTGACGATTGTCTGTAGTTAGCTCGACGTTTTTTAGGCCCTTCTCCCCGATACTACATATGATATTCAGTCAATTTGTTTGCCGGAAGGATTTTAATAGTAGGTTTACGGGCGTTTCGTGTATACCTATCTCTACGAGTACCCGTTAAATTGACGGGTAAACGAAAATACGCATTTTTCTTTAAAAGATCGATTTATTTCAATTAGTCTGAAAGGAACAATATTAAGCTTCACGTTTAAATAAATTATTAATAAATGAAGTCTTTTTTTTAATTATCACTAAAAAATTACAATAACGTTAACACTAGGTGTACGGGACCCGCCAATTTGAACTTCGAAATGAAATATCTCAAAAACCATAGCATTAATTTTAACCATTTTGCATCGTAAATTAATCATTTCATCTAAAGAATTTATGCACAAAATTATTTTTTCCTAGGCTTACTAATTTTTTAAATCTGTATGTAGTATATCTCTCTCTACGAGACCCGTCAAATTGACGGCTTAGCTGATTTCAGAAATAAATCTTATATGTTTGCTTTGTTCGTAAAGTCATTCCGCCAATAATAAATATATCGGAGATGAAAGGAAAGCCGAAGCCTTTCCTTGGAAATTTTGGGAACATCCTCTAGTACTTTAGCCTAGATTTTATCATAGCTGTAATTGTTTAAAATTTGTGATAGCGAGATTGGGTTCGAGGTGACAATTGATCGCCGAACGTAGCCACGGTCACGAGATAAACGTTTTGCCTAACGGAGGTCTGGAGTGGTTGTATGGGTTTTCCGAGAAGTGTGGTTGTGGCGGCATGCGGCCTGGAGAGCGGGCTTAGCCACGTGTGAGGTTGCCTCTGATGTGCCGATACAATGGGACATACATTGTATCAATAATCAAATTCCAGGCAGAGGCTGCCTAGCAACGGGCGTTTGGAACCTTCTCGATGCTTCTAAACGAGTATACAAAAACAAAAGGCAATCGTACAGCGAGAAAAATCTCCTCGAGGCAGGCATTCGTGCGATTGCCTTAGAGAGTGACACATCGAGCATTTTCGTCAATCGTATTTTCGCCTAAGATTACGTTTTACGCTTAGTAAAGAGTTATCTCGTTGGTCGTGGATTCGTTTGAACCCAACAAAAACATTGTTAATAGTGTTCATTAAATTCATTATTCGTGAATCATATTATTCATTAATCCTACTATTCGTTAAGCTCATTATTCATTAGATTTATTATCTGTTAAACTTAATTATTCGTACAATTTATTATTCACTAATTTCATTGTTCATCAAATTTATTATTCATTAGACTTATTATTTGTTAAGCTTTGTGATAGTCTTGTATATACGTGTACATATAATCTCGGCTTTGTGAAACGATGGCTAGTCCACGCGAAGAGTTGTCACGCGCCCAAAATTCCGATCTTAACCCGAAAAATATAACAATGAAAGAAAAGTCTTTACTAAGATGCCTCCAATTCGGCATCTCTCAATCGCAATTGATTTCGATGTCGACAATGTAACCTAAAGCGGATTGTATGGCTTGAGTGTTGAGTTTCGTCTTCAACGAAATCGCTTATGCCTATGCCGACGAAATCTCTAAAACAAGAAACGTTCTTTAGTATGATTTCTGCAGTAACAGTGTAAGAACGTTTTTCAAAGATAGTGTGCAAAAGTTTCAGTTATTGTAGACAGTCTCCGCTTATTGTAAGTATTTACAATAGGGTAATTGAATTTGTATTTTAGTATTTTCTTATCACAGTATTTTCTTATTTTCACCAATCCACCTTTTCTAGCAATCATGAGTAAATCCAGGAGATATAATAAGACATTGAACAAAATTGTCAACATCAATGAAGATTGTTCTGAGGGTACCTCCGAAGAAGATCAGTATGAATTCGGCCAAAGCGAAGCCGACAGCGAAAGTTCTGTATGCATTGAATGTCGAGAGATAGAGGAATCTTCGGATAATGTAGAGGAAAGCTTCTTGTGTCGTAACAAGAAAAGAATGCGTATTTTTTCTAGTTCTGATTCCGAGGATGAGATAACGAGCATTCCAAGCACATCCGAAAATGTAATGGATGAAGTGGAAATTGCAGTTGACGGGACACAGTGGATAAAACTGAAAGCAGGCGGATCTAGGGGTAGGACACCCGTTCGTATGATATTTAAGGATATCGCAGGGCCTAGTGGCAATGCTAAGAAAAATATCATGTCGGGCTGTGTAATTAGTGCTTTCGAATTAATAATTGACAGAAACATAATGGAACACATAAAAAATTGCACTGAAACCGAAGCACGCCGAGTTTTGAAAAAAGACTGGACAATCACAGTTGCTGAGTTACATAGTTTTCTAGGAATTCTATATGCTCGGGGTGCATATGAATCGAAATCATTGAAAGCTTCTTATCTGTAGTCGAAAAAATAGGGACCCGCTTTCTTCGCAAACACAATGCACAGAGATAAATTTACAGAAATTCTGAAATTCATAAGCTTTGACAAAAAAATCCAATGATCCGAAAGATTACAAACAGACAAATTTGCGCTGATATCCGAAATATGGAACAGGTTTATCAGTAAGAGCCAGGCTCGTTATAAGCCATATGAAAATATTTCAATAGATGAGCAATTATTTCCAATGAAAGCCCGGTGCAGCTTTACACAATATATGCCGAATAAGCCCCATAAATTTGGCATTAAGTTTTGGTTAGCAGTTGACGTCCAAACAAAGTATATTTTGAATGGTTTCCCTTGTATGGGGAAAGATGAAACTCGATGCTCAATACCGTTGAGCGAGTTTATAGCACTAAAATTAGCCGAACCATATTTACAACGAGGCAGAAATATAACGACAGACAATTTCTTTACAAGCATCCCGCTAGCTAAAAAATTGCTAGCACAAAAGACAACTTTAGTTGGGACCATCCGGTCGAATAAAAGAGAACTGCAAAAACCAGCGAAGGAAAAAAAGAACAAGATGACTTTGTTTTCCTCAGATTTATATAAATCAGAAAACTGCACATTTACTGTGTATAAAAGTAAACCTAAAGTAAAAGTCCTCCTAAGCACCAAACATACAGGAGTACGAATAGAAAATAATTATAAGCGTGTTCCAGAAACCATTACTTTTTAAAATAAAACAAAATTTAGTGTGGACGTCGTTGACCAAATGGCACGCAAATATAGTGTTTATAGCAGGGAGTTTCCGATGGCCCAAGTCTTTTTCAATATTTTGGATTTGGCAGCGATAAACGCGTGGATATTATATAAAGAGTGCATTAGCTGGAGAAAACAAGGAGAACATTTGCCAAAGATCAGATGCTTCACTTCTGTCACCTTCAACGTCAGAGGTGCGAAAAAGTTGCCAAGTGAGTTATTGCAAAAAAAATGGAAGTAATAATTATTGTATATGTCGGAGATAAGAGGACACCGGTGCCTTCCCTCTGAAACCTCGGGAAAATCCATAAAAACATTGTAATTAAAATCTACAGTTGTAATTAAACGATTTGCCGTCATTCTAACCAATTGTATTTGTTCGAGACTTGTGACAGTGAGCTTGGGCTCAAGGCGACGATTAGTCG